TTGGTAAAGATGCAAATAAACTTTGCCCTATGGTAAAATTTTAATTTTTTTCAAAAAAAAATTCAAATCACGTGGTATAAACAAAATATCGCCAATACAACTTTCATTTTTGTTGTTGATTTTTCTTTTCATTTATACACTATTGCATTTACCTGCCGGACTAACAATTATTATGTAGTGCTAGTACAAAATGTACTGGATTATAGCATCTCAAATGGTTCTTCTATTATTCTTTTTTATTGCCACATGGCAGAAATAATTATATGTGGCATGATAAATGTCTAGAAAGACTTCTAGATGTAGAAGTCATTTTAAACAACTTCCACAATATATTATATTATTTATTTAATTTTTTTTCAACCAATTACAATTTTACACATCACAAATTATACCACAATTAATGTTTACCATTGGAGACACAATCTTTTAATTTCTTTTCTCTATGCTATACAACACAAAATGGACAATGTTCCATTGGAGATGCCTTTAGCTCTCAAAGTGTTGATTTATTGGTCGAATTCAATTTTGATTTTCTACGTCATTGATAAATAATAGCACCCTTGCTTCTAACATTAATGGTCAATTCCAATAGTTTTTCTTTTTTTTTAACCAACGATAGGAAATACTCATAAATAAAAATTGTTTAAGTACAGACCGATGCTACCAACTGGTAGAAATAAACTGGGAGAACCACTACACAGAGTGGTCTACAAAACAACCAAACCTGAGATACCAAGCCGGCATAACAGCCTGAACCAAGGCACTACAAGAACAACCCTACAGCTAACAAAGGAAACCAACAGACAAATCAACCTAAGAACATAACACTAACACATAACAGCAGAACACCTAACAAATTGACCAAACAAAGCCACAAAAAGACATAAAATAAAAAGAACAGACCAGCAGCAACAACAACAACTACAAGGAACAGAGCCAGGGCAGACTTCACTTGGCAACAGCATGACAGAACTGCTTCCACTCCAGAACTGCTCTTTTGACAATCACTGCTTCAGGAAGTCTTTCGGAGTTGAACACCCAAAGGTTTCGAGATCGCCACAGCCACCACAAGATATATGTTGATAACTGGATTCTAGCTTCAGAAATGTCTGACTTATCTAAGCTACAAACCTACCACCACCATAATCTGAAGTTAGTGTCTGGAAGAGTGTGATCCCCAGGACACAGGGGCAATTCTCCAAACCATCTTGGCTTTAGGACACTACAGAAACAAATGTTCAGTAGTTTCTTCTGCTTCCCCACAGACTTTACAAACAACATCAATATCAAGCCCCTTCTTATTCAAATTCATATTCACAGAAAAATTCCAGTAAAACACTTCCAAATGAAGTGTTTTATTTTTCCCAGCACTCTCAATTTCCAACTCCTGTTTCTGACCAAGGCATCCACTTTACCAGAATTACTACCTTCAGCAATGTCAAGACTCTGGATTTTTTCAGTCAACAGATAGGAGTATGAATCAGAAACATAAAATCCCCCCTTCTTATTTACCTTCCATTTCCACACATCATCTTTGTCTGAAGCAATAGTGTCAATTTGCAGGATGGCTGAACTATCAGAAGCAGAGAAGAGACTTCTAACCAATTCCTCATTCCAGTGCCTTTTTGTAACATCCATGAGATCAGCAACCCAAACAAGAGAAGGTGAATGAGAGTTTAAAAACATAGGAGCATGTCCCTTGAGGAGAGGGACCCATCCACCATCCTGAATCTTAGTACTTTGCCCAGATTTCACTTCTTTCATACAGTTCAGAATAAAAGTAGGATGCACATTAAGCCAGTTATTCCAAAGCCATTAAGAGGATGAGTTCTTCACAGCTTCAAATATAGAAGTATTGGGGAAATATTTGCTTTTGAAAATTTGACTTACAAAGAGATTAGGCTGAGTGGTAATTCTCCACAGTTGTTTGAGTATAAGAGCCTCATTGAATATTCTTATGTCTTGGAAGCCCAGCCCCTTTTTTTGCTTTGGAAATGATAGAAAATTTCAGCTTCTCCAATGAATTCCTTTGGCCTGAGAGTCTCCCTTACGGCCTTACTCCACCAAAATTGGGCAATGAGTTGAGAAATTTCTTTACAGATTCCAACTGGTAGCCTGAAAGTGGACATCGCACTGGAAGAGAGTTGATCACAACCTTAATTAAGACTCCTTTGTCTGCTGTAGATAAAAATATATTCCTCCAACTGACCAATCTTTGTCTCACAGTTTGGACAACAAATTCAAAGGCTTCTTTTTTGGACTTTCCAATTCCAAGAGAGAGCCCAAGATATCTGGTAGAGGAATGGGCTGAGATAACAGTAAGCACTGCACACACATCATTTTTCACTGAGGAATCTATGTTCTTGCTAAAGAAGATAATGGACTTGGACAGATTCACCTTTTGACCAGAGAAAGCTTCATAAGTGATAAGCATGTCATTCAGGAGCATAGCTTGGCCAATATATACCTTACAGAACACAAGTGAATCATCAGCAAATAACAGGTGGGTAAGCAAAGGCCCATTTTTAGATAATCTGACTCTTCTAAAAATCCCACCAGTAGCAGCAGAGCTAATCAAAGCAGATAAGGCTTCTGAAAAAATAAGGAAGAGGTAAGAGGCAATGGGATCCCCTTGCCTCAAACCTCTATAAGGATGTACCAAGCCCACAGCTTCACCTCTTAGCATGAAGGAAAATGAAGTAGAAGTCACACAATACATGATCCAATTCACAAAGGGAACAACAAACCCCATTCTAATCATCAAAGATCTTAGACAATGCCATTCAACACGGTCATAAGCTTTCATCATATCAAGCTTAACTGCCATAAAGCAATGTTTACCTGATCTGTGTCTATTCAGGTAGTGGAATCCTTCACGGGCAATAATAATATTATCCAGCAACTGCCTCCCAGGGATAAAGGCACTCTGATTATCACTAATGCAAGCATGAAGACAAGACTTAAGCCTAGTTATAAGGATTTTAGAGATAAATTTATACACACAATGCACAGACTAATGGGTCGCTAAGTAGGGGCACATTTGGGGATCAAAGTCACAATAGTATTATTCCAGTTTTTAAGAAATATACCAAAAAGAAAGAAGCTCTTGACAGCCCCACACAAGTCTTTATGAATCACGGGCCAAAAATATTGGTAAAATAAGGTTGTCATACCTTCCTCCGTGGGGCTTTCAGGGGATTCGTCATGAATAGAGTTGACTTGATTTCCTCATTATCCACTTCAGTTGTTAAAGCTTCATTCATCTCAGGAGTAATGGAATGTGGAATGAGGTTGAGGATTCTATCTTCCCAGAGGAACCACCAGAAGTGAAGAGCTTCTTGTAGTAAGTAGAAATATAGGACTTCAGTTCCTCTGAGGTTTCAAAAACTATGTTGTGATCATCAACCAGCCGGGTTATAGCATTCTTCTTTCTTCTCTGCATTGTGACAGCATGGAAATATCTGGAATTCTGAGCACCCTCTTTCAGCCATTGAGTCATAGACTTATGCTGCCAGTACTACTCCTCAAAGCAATGTGCATTATCCAGCTCTCTCTTCATAACCTCCCACTCCTCCCAATTCTTAACATCTCCCAGGGATCTCATTTCTTCCAGCTTCAAGGTGAGAGTTCTAATCTTATGTTTGTTCTCAGTCCCAAAATGTTTACTCCAGAATGATAAAGCTATTCTGGTCATTTTGATTTGTTCCTCAAGCTTGAAAAAGGGAGTTCTCAGCTGCTCAATACTTCAGGCATTGCTCACAGTATCAGTAATTCCCTGCCTCAGCACCCATCTCTTGTCATAGGTGAACCTTCTTTTCCTCTTAATATTAGCCACCTCAGAATGAAAAGAAGCATCCCATGGTCTGAGGCACTTCTGAACATATTGGACACTTGAGAGAGGGGGTACCTGGATAGCCACCCAGAGAGCCATAGGCTTTATCTAATTTTTCCTCCACAATGCCTTCACCAATTCTATTGTTACACCATGTGAATTGGTACTCAGCCATGGAAAGTTCAGTCATGCCCATATTAGCAATAAAATTCAGGAAAGGGAGCATGCTTCTGGTGATCTGGGCCTCCCACCTTTCTTGTCCTCCTCGCTAGTGATATCATTCCAGTCCCCAATCATGCAACATGTGTCAGACCACAGGTTTATATCTGCCTCCAAACAATGCCATTGTTCAGCTCTTATGGAATGCTCAGTGTTCAGATAAACAAAGATAATCCAGCAAGGAGCTTCTCCTTGTGTCACAGTATACTGGATTTGGATGGAGCAATCAGTACTCCTTAATTGGAGAATCTCAACCTGCAAATTCCAGCACAACAACATGCCACCCTTTGTACAAACAGATTCAACAAAATAAAATATATCCTCAAAACCAAGCCTATTACAAAACTTAATAGTAATTTTTTTTTTTTTTGGTTTCAGATAAAAAACAAAAACAAAAATGAGGGAGGTGAGTATGCATTGCCTCTCGAATTTGGGAAATTATAGAGGGCCCCCCAGTCCTCTACAATTCCATACCAGGGCTATACATTGGGCACTGTATGGCCAATTAGGGCTAGCTGCCTCCACCTCTTGAACTGCATTTTTTTGCTTCTTGCTAATACTATCTTCTTCCCCAACTGAGGTTCCATCTTCATTGACACATTGATATGGTTGTCTGGATCTTTTAGCACCCTGAGAGTCATTGTGGGAGCTTTTAGTTTGAGACCCTGATGTTTTTTCCCCCCACCCTAGCAGATGCCCTCCTCCACATCCTTTGTTTAGGAGATGTGGTAACTACTTCCTTTCCTTTACCCAAGGACTGAATGTTTGCCTCTATGATTTCCATTCTGTGCTCTTCCCCTTCTGGAATAAAATCCAATTGTCTACCAGGTTCAATTAGAGATGTTGGGTTGAGACCAGTAACATCAAGCATGGCACTGCCCCTTCTCTGTTCTGGCACCAAGGAAGAGGATTCCATTAAACAAAGACTTTTTGATGGAGCCTCTGTACCCTACCCTTGAGGATAATGGGATGATTCTCCTTTCTGTTGTCCAGCAGAGGCTCTCTGCACTTGGTCAACTTTCCTCATCCCAGAGGATGTACTCTGAGGATTCTTTATGAAGTTTTCCACAGACTGTTTTTCAGAATAAGAAGGCTCACTGTTATTACTAGCCAAGGGAGAGCCCGTGGGAGCATAACCTTCTGGAGCACGGAGCCAGTCATCATACTGACCTGCTTTCATCACACGATTCTCGATATCCTCAACTTTCTTCTTGCAATTTCGGTCAAAATGCCCCAATTTGCCACAGTAGTAACATAGACTTCTAATCTTTTCGTATTTAAACTAGACTTTAACTGTTTGCTCACCCAATCTGATAAATGACCACCTAGGGAGCGGTTGATTCATGTCTAGAACGACCTGAATACGAATTATACGGCCTCCTCCATTCCCAACACAAGCCAAGTTAACATTTCGAATTCCTTTGTATGCTCTTTCTAAATTCAATCCAACCTCCGTACTAAGCCAATTTATAGGCACCCCATAAACTTGAACCCATATAAGGAGTTCTCCGAACTTCTCATGGCTACTGGACAATCCCTTCGTCCACTCTGTCAAGATCAAGTGTTGATTTTCAAACATCCAGCTTCGGCCTAGATCAATTTGCGAGAGAGCTTCTCGATTTGGAAAAATGAACTGGAAGTAATTGGATGATAGCTCTCTAACTTCCAGAGAGTTACGCATTTTCTATAAGGCATGGTGCGCTGCATTCCAAGCCAATTAGCCTTTCTAACACCATGAACTTTACCAAACAAGCTACAACTACACTCCTCTGCACTGATGCTAACATCTTTAGGCTCAATGTCGATGACTAGGTTTCCGGCTTCCGCAATCGACACATTCTCCAACTTTTGCCCTAATTCTTCCTCCATGAAATCCCTATCCACAATTACTTCAGGACCCCGAATCCCTCCACACAGAATCCCTTCGAACACGAAGAAGATCCTCCCTCTGGAGAAGAAACTCTCAAAAGAGAAGACGAATGCTCTCAATTGCGAGAGAAAAAAAAAAATCACCGGCAAGGTCGATTGAAAGTGTTTTGAGTTAAGGGTTGTGATTTGGTGATGTGACAAGTTCTCTTTCAATTCCAATAGTTGAGTTCAAGTTTATGCAGACCCTTTCCAAATAAGTCATAACGTTATAACTAAATAAAATCAATTGAATCCAAGCAGATGTTTGGATGATGCACCGTTTATCCATGACCGTCAACTTCATATAAAAAATAAAATAATAAATAAATAAAAGATACTTCGTGGAGATATATCATACGCCGGTCCAGTCCAGCCGAACTAGCCCGGGTAGTTCGGATGGTTCGTGAAATTTTTCAGTTCAGTCGAATCAATCCGGACAGTGTACACGATTCGGGAGTTTCAGTTCGGAACATCGGTTTGAGCGAGAACAGAGATTTTAGAATTTTTCCGAACCAAGTCAGATTCAGATTAGAAACCTCTCTAGCGAGAGAAAAATTGCCATGGAACAAACTTAATTATAATTATGATGTTACTTAGTTCGGCCATAAAAAGACTTCTGGTGCATGTTTAAAACTTTGAAGATTATCGAGATTCAAGAACCCTGAGTATGGAGCATTTATATGGTTTAAGTTTAACTAATATAGTGGCTGTGAGAACACAAGTCTATTTATGGTTAATCACTTGACATAATATCAGATTCGCTTCCCGGACTTCTTACTTGTATGGTTGCACCTGACATTGTGTCGCATACCCATGAATCTCAGCTAATACCAATATATAAAAATACATGAAAATTCTTGAAAATCAATTTCACACGTTGAAATGCAAATGACTCCTAATCCCTAGTTTGAGTGAAATTAATACACCTCTTATTATTCCTCATGCAATATACAAATAACTCAAAAGACCTACATTTCACATTTCAGATTCGAATCCAATATTCCAAAACCCCTCAGGAGTCGAAGGAGGTGCGTACCTATACCGGTGCCGGGACACTCCATCATGATGCTCACAGCGGACGTTCTGCTTATCTCCGCCAACGGAACCGGGCAGAACAGCATCATAGAACTTCTTGCATTGCTTGCACTCCATGCCTTTCAGATTTTCCCTCTCGGATTTCCTACGTACGGGCCCCACATACTTGAAGCCCGATTTCTCAGTCTTGGGTGGGGACATGTGTTGATTTTGCAGCCCGGCATCGACATTCATATCATCACCGTCTTCCTTCACAGCATTCCCCAATGTTTGCCTCACATTTTCGAGAGGAGTATCCAGGAAATTGTCATGGGGATCGGGCCCTGCATGGCTCTGGTGCGACCTCGTGTCCCTCCAGTAAGAAATAGGGCGTTTTGCACCAGTCGCGGGACAGGATTTTATGTTAGTGCCTTTTGGGGCAATTATATTATTTGAAGTTGATGGTGAGGCGAGGCCGGATCTTTGAACAAATGTATGTCCTTTCCCGTCCTCTGGTAATTGTTGTTCATCTAGTCTTTTTGTTACATCACCGGTAATACCAGAAGTTTTATTTTTCTCCACAACTGCAAAAGAGAATGAAAGGAGAATGAGGACAGGGCCGTATTGAACAGAACGCGTCAAGCCGAAAAACAATAAATGTGGAACTCGAGTTGGAAAACACTAGTATCGGAAACCACATATCAACTAGACCTAATTCCGCATGGAAATAGCAGACATTTTTTTGGTTATTGATCAATAATTATCCCAAAATATTCTAGACAGCAAGTCATATTGACATCTCAAGAAAAGATGAAGCAATAAAATGTATCCATACAGTAACCATGGAGCTTACCATGTGATCCGACTAGATTCTGATTGCACCCAATTGTTTCAGTTTCATCTTTCATTTTTTCAAGAGGTACAGCAGCTTCCGAAGTAAGAGCATACTTTTTGAGGAGATAATTGTATTGAGATTTCAGCTTCTTGTAAGCAGTTATAACATCCCTTTTTTTATTCTTTTCAGCCAGTAACTCAGAATCTTTAACCTCAATCTGCTGCAACAACTTTGCATGCAGCTCCTCGCCTTCACAAGACTCAACTGTTCTCTCAGATAGACAATTTTGAAGCTTATTGACTTCATTTTCTAATCCCCTCTGTTTATCCAGAAGCTGCTTCCTCTCCTCCATAAGTTCCTCCAGCACCTTCCCTCTCTTGATCCTTTCAACATTAAAAGAATCACTTTGTTCTAGCAACTGCACTTTTACTTTACACACCTCCTCCAGTTCAATGCTTTTCTTCTCTAGTTCTTTCTGGATGGAATCCGCGCGATTCACCAGGCGTTCCACTTCTGATGCAAGAAGCCAGTTATCCTTCTTGTATTTACTCAGCAGTTGTTCGTTATTCATTAACTCTAAGGATTGAGATTCAATTTTCTTGAGCATATTACTTTGCAATTCCTTCCCCTTGTCCACTTCTTCCACCTTGCATTTAAGTTCCAACAGAAGCTCATTGACTTTGTTCTCCATATTTTCAAGTTTGGAAACAAGCCCATTGGTTTTCTCTTCATACTCCTTCAGCTGGACATCTTTCTGTGCTATCATAGTGGATGTTGTTTCATTCATTTGGAGAAGCTTATTCTGTAGCTCCATTGCCCCATCAACTTCCTTTGATTTCTTCATTAGCTCCTGTACATGCGCAGCCTTTCTTTCTTCAAGCTCTCTTATGGTCATCTCATAGCTATGCAAGAGGGATGACTTGGTTTCTAGAAGCTTCTGTAGATTCTGATGCGCTTCCCTCCCCTCATTTGCTTCCATAGTTTGCTGCTTCAACTCTTTCTGAAGTTCTTCCAGATGATTACGAGACTGTATATCCATGTCTGTGAATTTTGCTTTCTCTAACTTGAGTGATTGGTTTTCTTCCAGAACATGATCCTTTAGATGCTGAAGCTTCTCGATCTGAAGCAGCAGCTCCTTCTCCTTTTGCTTATATGTACCTTCTGCAGCTTCCCTCGCCTCGTGGTATATTTTCTGCAAGCTTTCAGAATTTATTGGAAATCTTGGAAAGAGCTGACTACAAAATATATATTCTATCTGAGAGATACGGTCTTTAGCTTCCTGTATCGTTGCAACCAGAATGGTGCTGACTACAGAAATATATTTTGCATCAGGTATATCGGCAGGGTTCCATAGGTTAGGAGACTTCATTGGATTGCTTTCCATCTATTTTAAGGAAGGCCCAATTGATAATTACTTGGGGCACTTGCAATAGTAAAGTAACAAAGACTAGTTACACCGTCAATGCCTGTGTTCTTAAGATTTACACAAGGAGAGAACTTAGAATTATGAAAAAACTTGAAGCAAGTATTTTAAGAACAGGGAACATCTATGGCCACACAGAAAGATAAAGCTTTCAAAACAAAGGAAACTTTACAAGTTGGTATCAATTCATTAAAGAGTTTAAAGAAAGCCCAGCCTGTGCTGCTTTCCTTATTTTATGGGAAAGATCAAAGCAAAATTGACCTCATTGAAAACTTAGCTAATAAGGCTGCAAATGCATTTCATAAAAATAAAAATCATGTTCTACCATTTTTATCCTCAAACAACTCATCTGCACTCACTTCCTAATCTACAAACTTTTAAAACCATACCTAAAGGAAATCTTAAAGGGTGTTCCAAGAAAGCATCGGCCAAAATTTCAAATGAAGTAGAATCTAATACAAACGGAGCCGGTTAAACCCACTCGTTTCCACTGATCCCAAGGCTCCCGCTATAACAATCAAAACGAGAACTTGTGCAACCGACCTCAGAATCCAATTGTGTTACAAAAAGTAACAAATAAGTAAGGATGTGTTTTACTGTTTTCCAAAATCCGACTCAATTTTTTATGAGCTTTCTGTGTATATTGCAGAACATAGATTCATTTGTCCTCGACAAACAAGCATGAAACAACTAGCCACAGCCTGAAACCCAGATGCGAAAATCCCCTTATATCCAGATTATAATATCGACTTATACCGATGTTTGTTACCCATTAATTGGACAATTTTAATCACAATAACATGGAACCAAATGTCATGCACCAACAGAACTGAATTAGGTTACAACTTAGCAGATCAAATCAAGCTAACATGGTGAAAACCAGCTTGCAATTGAAATTAGGAAAAAAAAAAAAAAATTGGGCACCTGAACCCGCCGACAGTAAGAAGGAACAGTAGCTTGCGATCCAAATTTGTCTGAATAGGAATGAGATCAGAGCTAACCTAACCTAAGTGGAAACCAGTTTAGAATCGCAATTAGGAAAAGAGGTAAAATGTGATATATTGAACACCTGAATCCTCCAATGCTGAGAAGAAGAACGAACAAGAACAACAGCTTTCGATTCAAACGCGTTTGGAATGGAAAGGGAGTAGAGGAAATGTTGTGTGTGCCCGCTTAAGTTCGAAGTTTATCGGCAGCGCCAATCTCACTCATTTCGGAAAATTTCAAAAATTATTGGCGGTAGATGATGTGTTATAGTTTTTATAGGGAAATGCTAAGGTCCAGTTACGAAACTATTCCGTCGGGTTTTGTAATCGTTAGATAATAATATAAGCGTCAGGTAGTTAATCTAACGGTTACAAACTCCGATGAATGATTCCGTAATGGACCATAGTATTTTCCCTTTTTTTTATATTACTAGTATTTCATTTACATGCACAAAGCAAATAAAATTTTATACGATATATATGTGAGTTTATATAATATTTCAAATCATAAGTTAGATGTCACATTTTATATATTTTATCATTAGAAACAATTTACGATGTAAATATAAATTGTTTATAACTTACATATGAATCTTTATAATGATGCAATTTTGACTGATTATAACTAATTAATTAGATAAAACGATATTAAAATTATTATTATAACAATTGTGTACAAAATTTTAAAGGGTCTAGTTATGACATTAAATATAATTAATTAAATGTAATTAAAAAAAAATTGTTTAATAAATTGAAAAAAAAAATTTAACATTTTAAATAAATAGTTTCAAAAAAGCTTTAGAGTAGAACAACATTTAATGTGGTTTTATTATTAGTTAATAGTAGCAGTTATATAATAAAATAAATAAAAAATATAACTACTTGATTAATGTAAAAGTAATTGAAAAAGGCGGGAAAATAGAATTTGTTTTTTAAATGTTTTGTTAGAAATTATATATATATATATATATATATTAATCCTTCTAGCTTAAAAGAACGATATAGATATTCGAATGAATTAGTTATCATATCCTTCTACTTAGATTTTCCTAAATCTCCTAAATCTTATTTAAATACATTTTAAATAATGTTGTCCTTCTGAGTTTTCATTGGAATTTTAGATGGAATTTGATGATTCCAACGGTTATAATTCCAACGGCTTTTTATCGTAGGAATTTCCATTGGAATATGCAAATTCCGTTGGAATTTTTTTTCCACCCCGTTGGAAAATCCACCGTTGGAATCGTCAAAATCCAACGGAAATTCCAATGGAAAACCCATTCCGTTGGAATTTCCGTTGGAATCAATTGAAAAATTCCAACAGAAATAATAGTATTGAAATATCCGTTGGAATTGCCGTTGGAATAATTTTTTGAAATATATTTATGTTGGAATTTCATCATTTTCTTGTAGTGTTTGAATAAAATGTATAGTAAATATTTGACAAAACAATGTAATTTTTGAAAAAAATATCATATAACATATGCTTAATGGAACTAAATAATATCAAACTATTAGTATTGAGTCAATCATTAATGAAATTCATGAGTTGAGAGAGCATTCAATATAAATTTGTTAATGTCAGTGTTTGAAACTTTATAATTTATATTGCACCATTATTATGTATAATTTTATACTACAACTTTACATTTTTTATGTACATTAAATTAAATTTATGATTATTAAAAGATATATAGTCCCCCCAAAAAAAAAAATCTGGATCCACCCCTGGATATAAACATTTTATATCTGTAACATTTTGTATTTGTATTTCTCTTCTTATCAGTTTTCCAATCATCGAGATAAACATTTTATATATGTATTTCTCTCCTTCAAGTTTTCCAATTAATATTAACATTTTATATCTGTTCTATTTATTTGCTATCACGTTAACTATCAATATTCTTTTATCAATATTTTTATTTTTCTAGTAGTATTATTTTTGTGTTTCTCACGTCAACTATCAGTATTTGTATTTTTTTTTTGTATAATTCTTATCCCTCACATTAACTATCACTATTTTTATGTAATTATTTTTCACTTTCTCCTCCCATAAAAAATTCCGTACAACCTCCACACCTTTCCTAAGAATTTCAACATTTTGGTGAATCACTTTCAAAATAAAACATGGTGCCAATTTTTAAAGAGAATCATTTTGTTCGGTCCTTATATATAAACTGAGACTCAATTTACTAATAACAATGACTTCAAATGCCAGAATAGTTTTTTTTGTATTTGTTTTTTGTTTTTTTCTGACTTAATGTGGCGCCAACGAATTCGGAACCATCAAGCAATGAGGAGATCGAGAATAATACTTCGATCACAGTCTTAGCATTTGTGGAAGTTACCTTATTACTTGATTTGAATGTGGATCCACATCAAGATATTGAAACTCCACCAATAGAATTAGAGGTTAATCAATTACAAGAAGATGATGAAGACGTTTTGGGACTGAAATCGGGTACTTTTTCATTTACGGAAAAATTGGCTTTTACATCATTTTACTCTTAGAAAACATAATTCCTTATTTCTAATGTGTTATCTTATTTTGTCGTTTTTTTCTTAAATATATAATTTGAGTTTTTCTTGGTTATCATTACAGAACCATTATGTTTCCATTTGAAAGTTTATAGTTCTAATGTGTTTATATAATGTATATACGAAAACAAGATATAAAAATCGTTTAGTTTTAAACTGTTAAAATAAAGCCAGTTTTTAATTGTTCTATGTTGCTCACAAGATCACAAGAAAGAAGACAAAAGAAAAACGTGTCTAATGTGTCGACGGAAAGTTGAAACGAGACATAACAAAAGAGGTCTCTACTTTACTATCCGTGCCTACACGAGCAGTTCAATGTGTTTGGAAACAAGCAAAAGATACTTCAATGGAGCATTAGTAGACGTGTGGGGGAAATTCCATTACGCAAGCGAGCAACTCTGAGATCACTTGCATTGTAGTCTAAAAGTGAGCCAAACAACATTATGCATAAATGTAAAGAGGTCTTCTTCACCGCCATTCGAATGCCATTAAGCCATATCTCAAAGAAGATCACAAACTATATATTCTTCGCGCTTGCAAACTGGTTGGTGAACATCGTATAACATGGTATGTTCTCGAAACCCTTGGGACAGATCTGCCCCTAACACTTCATCTGCGAACGGGTGACCCGCACGGTAGGGGCCTCGACGTCCCTCGACCTTCTCTTGGAGCTCGCACAGCTACTCCGCCATGCGCTCTATGATCGAATCTCTTGCATGTTGTGATGGGGTTCCTGACAAG